AGCCAAAGATCCCACACGTCCATGCAGCTGGGCAGGTCGGTGCGGCCATCATAGCGGCTCCGGCTGAAGGCGATGCCCGCCTGCGGAGGATACCCAGCGGAGGCAAGGATCCAAATTGCATGCGGGAGGTCCAAATCCTAAGATTCGTGGAATAAATATGGCCTGGCACAGTGTCATACATCGCTGGTGCCTTCTTTCTTTTGCCAGCGCAAGCCAACTTCAGAGCTTTGGAATACATCAGGTGTCATCAGATTTCCTACCCAAACGGTGCACCATTCAAGAAAGCCGCTATACTTGGCCATGAAAACCTGCGTTCGATCAAAGAGGGACATGATTAGAGTCAGGCCCAGTTCTAGAATGCATATTTTATTGTTGGCTTCACATGGAGTCACTGGTAAAATGTAAATTGTATCCCAAGTCTAGCCCAGAAAAAGGGAAAAGAACTGAACCCCTCTCCGCCTCAGTGAGCTCCCTGGCCAGGCGCACCGGGTCGTGATGCCCCCAGGGCGCGGCAAAGCGAGCGGAAAGCGCAGTCAACACCTGAGCCACATTCAAAACCCGGGTAGATTTGTTGGGTAGGGACAATCCCAACTAAAAATAGCTGCGGAAATGTCCGCCTTCTTGATTCTTGAAGCATGGTTCTGGGATTACGACCATTTTACTACGGTCTTGATGATAACTCACCTGAAACGAACGGATTCGGATCGGAGGTCAACTCGTGGCTCCCTTGCAGGCCCAGCCTCTGTGATCCATTTCCGCGTCTTGGACATGACCTGTCGGAGCGGGATTGGCATCAGAAGTACACATCCGAAGTGGAGCACATGAATTGAGTTACTTGGTGCGGCAGGCTCTAAGGCGTGCGAGCTCGGTCCCACTCTACAACTGCCGGGGTGAGGACATGGCTGGTGAGGAGGGCTGGCGAGAGAATCTTTCGCGGCGCGAATCAACATGCCATATTTGTTCGACTCGCCCCAACCTGTCGGCCCATCCATGCCCTACCATTCTACGGCCTTTTAGTCAAGCACCACTTGCGTGTGTGTGTGGGTGTGTGTGTGGGCTGTGTGGGCTGTGTGGGTGTGCGTGTGTGTGGGCTGTGTGGGTGTGGGTGTGTGGGCGTGCGTAGTCGGGTGCGTGGGTGCGTGCGGGTGCGAGTGAGCACGTGCGTGTGCTCTGCGCTTTCGTGCGTCTGTGCGTCAGGCGTCGAGTGTTGGGTGTCTGGGTGTCTGCTGCAGTCTCTGTTGTCTGTTGTCTGGTGTCTGCGGCTCTGTTGTCTGTTGTCTGTTGTCTCGTGTCTGGCACCTGCTTTGCTCACATGTGCATGACAGTGGCAGCGTCACCCAAACAGATATCGCACACGTGCCTGTTGCTCACGTGACACCACTGGTTCCATGCGCGGCCTAGAACTTTCCGCCTGACATTGAGAAGAAGACCCCGACGTGGGCTTCTATTGCGCCCCCTTGCCCATTGCATGTCTCCAAATCCTGGCTGGCGTTGTGTGCGATCGTCACTCAACCACACATGTCAACAAGCCTTTTGCGCAAACAAACACATTGCAAAGTGCCTGGTGCCTGGTGCCTGGTGTATGTTGTCAGTGTCTCTGTGTGTGTGTGCGCGTGGGATGATTGCATTTTGTGAGTTGGTACCTTTGTTGGTTGTGTTGAAGGTGTATTCCTGCGGCTTCTCCCAAGGCCTCAACCCCCCCCTTCCAACCCACCTCTATGTCCGCCGGAGCACTGCAGGCAGCACAGCGGCCGCAGTGCAAGGCCTTGCCACCTTCAGAGGTCCTCGGCTACACGCGAACAGAATGCCTCCAGTGCAATGAAGTCTGAAGCTTGGGGACACCCAAAAGTGCCTCCGCGGTCCTTTGCTTCCTTTAAAGCAACCCAAAGGGTACCAACTCTGAAAAAAACCACAGCAGGTCACGTCAGGTGCTCTGAAGGCATGCAACACCTGAAACTCTCATATAATGAAGATCCAGGTCGTAACTTGGTCACATGTGGCCATGGGGCATAGCCTATGGCTCCATTTTGGGGTGGATGAACATCCATTTCCCACCTATTTTGAAGTTCACCAGTTTCCTCATTTATGACCCACAGCATGTCATCCATTCAGGCTGAACCTGACGCATGAATCTCCCTCAAGGCCCACTGAAGCTCAGCTCAATCGCACCGGGAATCGCTTGGACTGCCTCCTCCTTGCTCATGGAGACAATGCCGCCGGAGGTCTGCACACAGACGTAGTCCTGTCGGGACGAACCTGTGCGCGACTAGACACCTTTCTGTTTGGACGGCTGTACGCTTGGACCATTGGACCCGCAATGCAAGAAACTCTATCCAGAAAGAATCAAACTACCCAGTCCGAAAGAATCTATGCCCCAAGGCTCCTAAAACGATCCTTCGACTTTGCTTAGAAGGGCTTCTCGTAAGGGTGGATAATGGAGATCTCATATTCAGCGGTGGGCCGCTTGCAATTGCCAGCACATCACTGAGTCAGCATACGCAAACGCACTGCACTTGGAAACTGCAGTCCCTTTCTGCCAAGATGCTGAGGAGAATCCACTAGTGCTGTTGCCGCTCCAGGTATTGTTAGTGTCGAAGTCTTTGTCCTGGAATTGAAGGAACGAGGATCCCACTCTCCCCTACTCTAGCCAAATTCACTTGCAGGGGAATTCAAGTCAATCCAACCACCCTTGGCATTTGCAAAGGAAGTGCGCACACCCCAACTCTGTCGAATCTTTGCCCACACACACGCAAGTCAGTGAACTCACACCGGTGCTGATTTAACCCGCCGATGGACATTCGTCTGGTGTCAAAGGAAACCCAGTACAGTCCGAGTACCGGGAGATAGCTGGCAGCAGAACCTCATAACCTCAGCATGCTCAACATCAAATCTGCGCAAAGCCTCTCTCGCAGTCGCATTTGTGAGGCTCTGGGGCCAGCTGGGGCGCGGGCCTAAAAATGAATTGTTCAAACCTCAGCTCACGTTGCTGTACATGCCAGCCAAACCTTTGCACAAGTTTGGAGTCGAATTGAGGTGAGAAACATGAGCCATCCACATGGCTTGACTTCCGATATTAAACGCGGCTTGCTTTTGCAGCGCAAACAGCTCTGCGACCCCCTGAATTTCTGTTGCCAAGCTGCGATAGCACTGACATTTGGACCAGCCTTTCCGGCCGCCCACAACTTGCAAGTTGAAGAAACCAAAGCTCCAGCGACACTGGCGCGTGCACTGGTAGAATTCCTGGCCGTTCTGGCAAGCAAAACGAGGGTCGAGACAGAATCCGCAAGCCAGAAATCTCTATGTCTGTCACGGATGATATTGCTTCATTCTAACTGTTACACGCTAAGCAGGGTCGTGCTAGTTCACCTCAATCGGATGAGAATTGCAGCTCAATCGGCTTTGTGCAACCAAAATTCCACCAAATGCAAGCCTGCCATCAGTGCTTTGACAAAGAAACCATGCGATGGACTCGCAGCACAGCAAAACCCAAAAACGCCGACCTTCTCCTGGACTGCTTGGGACGGCGGCGGTGGCACCGGCCGTTCCTGCGCAGAAGAGCCCCAGGCTCCCAGGTCTTGCGATTCACCAAGGACTCTGCACAATCCTGCTAAGCGAAGGTGGGATGATAGGTGGGACACAAAAAGGAAGGTGTGAGAGCTTATTAACTTCTCCCACTACAATCAGCATGAAACTGGCGACTGGATCAGCTCTGAACTGCCAGCCGCCAAGCAAGTCTCTCTCTCCCGCCCTTCTTACTTGAAACACTGGAATCTATGGCCAGTACAAGAGCTTTGCCATCAACAATGCTGTCATCTGATCCATCTGAGGCTCCCCGAGCTCGCCAGTCAGAGAAATGCGGGCGCCGTCCACCAAATCTAACAGGCCTCGGTAAGAGAGATGTGTGTAGATATATATATATATATATTGGTACGTGTTCTGCGTCCGGAAAATACTGGATCTCTTGCTTTTCATTGTGTATATAGCCATGTTTGCACTTTTTGGGTACTTAGGTTTTAGCTGATCGTGCCACTTCCCAGATTGTCTCAAGACAAGCCCCTCAACAGGTATCATTGCAAATCGCAACAGCGGTCAGCATGAGTGACCCCTGATTCTTGATGCGCTTGCTCAGCTCTGGTTGGATTCCTGCCGGCAACCTTACTAGAGTTCCGTAAATTCTGAATCAGAACATGCAGTATGTTTTGGGCTGCTGGGTTGAAATGGAGCAACGAGCCAAAGGCCAGGAAGCCACAAAGGAAAGCGGCAAAGCACTAGAAAAGGCCAACCGCAAGCACACTGATAAGCCAAAAACACGAGCGATTTGAAACGTCAAAACCCTTGGCATTGCAGCATCCAATCGCAACAGGATGCAGTTTATGGCCTCCCCAGGGGTACAGGGTTTTGACCCACAGCCACATTTGTTCCTACATTCGAAATGCTTTTGCCGCGAGGCAAAGCGCACTGCAAAGCAGCGTCCCGCAAAGCAGCACGCTGCGAGCCATGCCACCGGGTGGGACGCAGCCTTGAGTTAGCGCAGGTAGTTGACCCTGCAAGTGTTGACCCTTGTCGGGTGTGCCGGAATTTAGGGGACCCATTAATATGGCGCTTTTGGTGTCCCTTTACAAAGACAAAAGCAGGGTACCGAGACTCAACAAAAAAAAACACACCCAAGAATTTGGGTTCAAGTCGGCCATGTGATCAAACACTTGGAACCCTGGTGGAATGATTCGTCCATGAACTGCAGTTAATTGGCAGGCAAGCGATGGTCTGAGCCAGCATGGAATCCGACCGAGCGTGGCACATCACGCAAAAGGGCCAGCTGCAACTGGGGTGTTCTTGTGCACATAGGTGTCCTTTTGGAAAAATAGATGGGTTTCCCTGGTATATGGAATAAAACCCATCTAAACCAGTGCCTTCTATTGTTTGAACCAAACCAACCTAAAAAGGACACCTATGCTTGTGCATCGTAGTGGCGCCAGTTGCCCTGCAACTGGGAACCAGGCCCAGAAGCCTTTGCTGCACTCCAAGTCTCCTGTCCTGCACAACAAAACTGACGAAAGTCAAAGACTGCCACTGTCTTGGGCACACAGTCAGCCGCGAATGATCTGTGGCGCGAAAGTAAGACCATCTCGCAACATAGTGGAATCGGTTTGCATGCAAAAAAAGCGGGGAGTGAAGCAAGCAAGACAAACGTGCAAACACACAAACAAGCAAACAAGGAAAGCACACAAACACACACAGAAGTAATCAAGGAGTCAAACAAGCAAGCAAGCAAGCAAGCAAGCAAGCAAGCAAGCAAGCAAGCGAGCGAGCGAGCGAGCGAGCGAGCGAGCGAGCGAGCGAGTACGCAAGCAAGCAACCAAACAACATACAAACAAACAAATACACACACATAATCAATCACACTAGAGAGCAACCACGCAAACAAACCAACACAAACACAGTCAAGCACGCACGCAAGCAAGCAAGCAAGCAAACAAACAAACAAACAAACAAGTCGAGCAACGACACACACACACACACAATCAGTCACGCTACAGAGCAACCACGCAAACAAACCAACACACGCACACAATCAAGCAAACAAGCAAACTGGCAAGCACGCAAGCAAGCAAGCAAGCAAGCAAGCAAGCAAGCAAGCAAGCAAGCAAGCAAGCAAGCAAGCAAGCAAGCAAGCAAGCAAGCATACAAACAAACAACAAACAAGCGAGCAAGAAATTCAAGAAAGCAAGCCAGCAAGCACACACACAAACAAACAATAAACAACAAACACGCAAGCAAGCAACCAAACAAACAAACAACAAGCGAGCGAGCAAGCAAGCAAGCAACCAAACAACCAAACAAACAGAGAAGAAAGCAAAAAGGAAATAGGCAATCAAACAATCTGGTCCTCTCGTAGCCTGGCTGACACTCAAGGATGCAAATAGAGCCCGTGGCCTCAACTTGCAGCGAGCGCCCGGAAACAGATCCCTGCAAAGAACATATCTGTAGCCCTCCCTCTGCCTTTAGTGGGAGCAGCAAAGCGACCAGCTAAGCTTTCAAGGTAGACAGACACCTTTCGACCAACAAAATCCTTCAAGCAGCGAGCATCATCACTTGGGCTAACTACAACTTTGCGTTGAACTTGTCGGTTTAACAAACGCTTTGCCAGTTCGAGAATACTAGGCTCCAAGGCGCTGTTCTGGCAGTGCGACAAGTCCTTCAGCTGCTGTTTGCGTCGACGTGGTAAGCCACCCAAGACTGACACTGGGGCCTGTCTCAATAGGGATCACTTGCTTGAGAATGGGGAGAGTGAACTTAGGTTGATGCTTAACAAGGAAGCCAAAAGGGTCCCAAACTTTGAGAAGCACGCGCTTGAGCTTGATCAGCGATCCGCTCCAGCTCTAAAACTGAAGCGTGTCGTGTGTCAGGCAAAACTGGGACAGCCATTACCGCCCAACCAGGGAGTTATTCACCTTTCGCGAGCGCAGCTTCATTGGTGAAAGTCTTGCCGTGCCGGACAAAAACCTCTCGGAATCTGTCCTCAGAGTTCTCCACGTTAGGCGGTGAGTCGCAAAGCATCTCTTCCTGTCTGCGCTGTCCAGCAGAGTCTAAAGTGGCAACAAGATACTGTCTAGCCATCGTGGTGAAGAGTTGGTGTTTCTTGCGGAGAAAGGCAGCTCAAGCTCAGTCACTGGCGCAGTGAGGAAGCAGCCATGCCTTGATTGACCGAGGAACCCTGCAGCGACAAGGGTCGAATTCATGCTTTTGGAGCTTTCAGGTAGTGCAACCCACCACATATCACTGAAGGACGCCCGAGTTGGTGAGTCGGAATGAGGTCCAAACAGGACCACCTGATTCTTCTCGTTTGCAAGCTACATCCATCAAGTAAGGTCTGCCGATCCCCGTTCACTAAGCACACATTCCAAAAAGCCCCCCACGCCATCTTGGCAGGCCAGGCTCCCGCTGTGCACCTGGCTTCAAGTGTTTGCCAAAGCGAACAGTGCAGTCTAAGTTCTGCAAATAGATGGACATTTGGCTGTGGGTCAAAACCAATGGTACCAGCTTGGGTAGGTGCACCACCCATTTTAGTCTATTTTAGTGGGGATTGGGATGTTCACTGGGGGTACGATTTGGATTTTGACCCATGGCCAATTGGCGAAAGCAAGGTCGAACAGAATCCGGAACCAGGCAACTGGTTCTCCGGGAACGGCGCGAAACCAGCTTCACACACCAGCGGGCAAACGTGGCCGCTGAGAGTGAAGGCCTGCAGTCGCATGGCATCCACTGATTCGCTTGCACCGGACACTGGCGCGGCTGCAACCAGGCGAACCATCAAATGAATTTGTGGCAACATAGGGCAATCCCTGAGATGGGTGGCTTTCCCTTGGGTCCCCTGTCAAAAAAAAGCAGCCCATAAAGGGTACCATCAACCAAAGACACCCCGCTCTCCATTGCGGGAGGACTGAGGCTCATGCGCATGTGGTCAGATCCTTTGCATACTCGACAACTGGTGGATGAACACACATCCTCGGTGCTGTGACAGTGTGACGGTGCCGTTTCTCAACCCTTCTCTCTGGTTGAAGTGGACCTAGAAATGCGCTGCAAATCCTAGGAAAAGCATCACTTCCTTTTGCTTTGGTCTCAGCTTTGCGCCTCCCCACGGTGTTGCTCACCTCAGGAGTCGTCAACAACACATGTCGTCCCTTGGCTACCTTCTACCTTGGACAGTTTGTGAAAATTGAGCAAAGTTTGGGACATGGCCATGGGTCAAAAGCCAAATCGTACCCACAGTGAACATCCTAATCCCCAACTAAAATGAATTCACCTACCCCAAAGTGGGATCCCAAAACGGTTTTGACCTCACAGCCACATCCTGTTGGGCAGAGGGCGTCACCCACTCCCCTCGTCCCGGGGAAACAGCTCTATCGAGGCTAGGGCCATCTCCAGTTTTAGGACCCCGATCGCCTCGCCATTGGGCAACGACCTCAAGTTGGCATCCGTGACCCACCAAACGGGGGCACGGGGCTGGGGTTATGCAGGCTCTAGTCTACCTTTCCATAAGCCAAGGTTCCATTCTGGACCCCAGTTTTTGAGCCATGCCCAAACCAAACACCCACACCCACACCCACACCCACACCCCCACACCCCCACACCCCCACACCCCCACACCCCCACACCCCCACACCCCCACACCCCCACACCCCCACACCCCCACACCCACACACCCACACACCCACACACCCACACACCCACACACCCACACACCCACACACCCACACACAAACACACACATGCACTTGCCTGCCACTGTACCAGCCAACAATTGCCCTCTACCAACATAGCTTAGTCACAGCAGCACGACAGGCATCCACGCTGAGGTAGCTTCACTGCAGGTACAGTTCTGTCGGGGCGTGGCACTGCTTCCATCCCCGAGGCGGCGACAGTGCATTTGTCAGCAACTCCGATAGTGTTGGCGCCTTCCTGGGTACCCGCTCAATATGGCTGCATCCACACAGCTTCACTCCGAGTTGTCACTCGCTGCGGAATGTGTGCATTTGGGAGCGTGGCAGCACATCTTGTGCGGCTGCCAGCACGTCTTGTGCTGGTCGCGGGACTTAGCAGGCTGATCAACATGCAAGCAAGGGCTCGCAAGCAATGGCTCGCATGTGACACTGAACATCAGCATTCAAATTGATCGACCCAGTTCAGGGTTGAGAGTATTGCTTATTGGCAGGAAAGCTGTATCGGAGGAACCTCCTGCGAAGCATGATGGCGGGGACAAAGGGCGGCTTGCCGCCGTATGCACGTCACTTCTTCAATCCCAAAGCACCCCTGTTGAATTCGCTGGACCTCCTGGATTTCTACCTGGGCTCTGTCCAGCAATTGGTCCTTTTGCATGCTGCAAGAACCATCCGCCCCAAGCTCCGTGCCAGAGAGCCGCCGGAAACTCGCAGGCTTGTAGCTGGCCGGCAGCCTGGCCGAGTCCCTAAGCAGGATGCCATTGATGTCACTTGAATGAGACTGTATTGTACATGTGGTCAGAACTCCTGCTGTAGCTTCTGGTCAGAGTTCCATGTAGGGAATAGCATGGTAGTTTCTGGTCATGGCCCCCTAGGGAATTTTAACCCACTTCAAGGACAGGGCTCTTCTGAGCATGCACTCTGCGAGCTGGCCCAAACAATTTTAATAGCGCCAGCAGGACAGCAGCAGGTCAACCACAGTGCTGGTCAGCGAGTATGGCCTCATCAGACAAGTGCATGCGTTTGATTAAATTCCTCCAAGAAGTTGCAAAGCCACAAATTGAAGACTCATGGTGCCAGCCTGTCCCTCACAAGGGGTGTAGGGGACTCTAGAGCATTCCATTTTCCATAGAGCAGTCCATAGTACTTGTCTTACACAGTTCAACAAGACCCGCCCTCGCCTGCATGTGATTGCCTGAGATCTACTTTTGCTTCTCTTCATATTTCAGAACGTCTGCACTTAAGCGCTTCTAAGGCACCAAGGACACATCTTTAACTCCGTCCCAAACGACACCTTCCCACGCAACATCAACAATAGAACAGCTCATCATAAATGTCCGATGTATACACTAAAATACTTACACATGTATTCTCTTCGATGGTTCTTGATTTGTATATCCTTCAATTGTACCATGTATCATTCTCCTTGATGTGACACATGGGACCCCATCGACCCATCGACCGCGCGTCGGTCGGTTGCCAAACCAAACCGCGCCTGGACTCCTTCGCCACCAGGCGCCAGGATGGCAGGCCCAAGGCGTGCGCCAGCGCCCTCGCCAGCCGCGCGGTGCGCAGACCCGGGCGCTGTGCCTCTTGGACGTGGGCTTGGAGTGGAGTGACAAGCAACAACCGGTCTCAAAATGGTCTACCCAGAGCTATGTAAAGAACTAAGAAGGCGGATCTACCCTGGTTTTGAGTGTGGCGCAGTTGAGCTTGAATTGGTCGGAGGCGTTGGTGGAGATCAAACAAAAACATGGGGGATTCATTCATTGTAACCAGTTTGGAGGTGAACACCCTATCCCCTTCCTTGAACTCCGGAAACTGACAAGAGCGCTTTACCGGGATGTTGGATGACTCTGAACATTGAGTATTTAACGAAGCTTTGTGCATGGATGCAAAACAGGTTCATTCTGGTGAAACTCCTTTCTCCTGATAGTGAGGCATGTCAAGGGTCAACATTGACTGCTCGCGTTGGTGTCGCTACTTAGTCGTTTAGTTTGTGAGTCCCCTATCTTTGCATTGTCCAACAACTCTCAATTACATGTAGTTCGAGAATTGAAAAGGAAGAAAGGAAGAAAGGAAGGAAGGAAGGAAGGAAGGAAGGCAAGAAGGCAAGAAGGCAACAAAGGTAGGAAGACAGGAGGGAAGAAGGAAGGACGCAAGAAAGGGAAATGGAGGAAGTGAGGAAGGGAGAAAGGGAGGCGCTACAGTAGCCCCCAAAGCAACCCCGAAAGCAAAAATAACTTTACGTGCATACAAAAATCACTGCTTCCGGGGCCCGGTATCCTTGTCGTGAGTCCCCGATCGTTTGCCATATCAATGAACTGGCGAATGCGCAACGGCACCTTCCATAAATATTTATGGCAGGTGTAGGAAAACCGGGGGAGTGCCCCATGGCTCTTGACACAGCCCTGATTGCACGCCCCTCCCGACTCCCAAGCCTGGAGGTTCTCCCAGCTGGTGAAGGATACGCGTAAGTGCAGGGCCAACAGCATGGACTCATCCAGGGCATAGGAGAGGGGTCCTGGCACAAGCTGAGTTTGCCTGGGTTTGCAGTACCTAGGCCTCCCAACCTTCTCTGTAGCGCATTGAGCGGCACTTGTTGGAAACCACTAGAGCTGGCTGTCCAGTTTGCCCTCTGCTCTCTCCAGGCAGCACAAAGGCCCAACGACGAAACCCGCCAATGCCTGCAGTATTAGTCAGCCTGCTTCTCTGCATAAGCCATTGGATTGACGCTGAACAGTCAGATGCTGGGAAAGATCAGCTGCCAACTCAAGCACTTGGCTTCGTCGCTGCCAATGCACAAGACAGCTGCACGCCTGACAGCGGCTCACAGCTGCTCTCGATAAAAGAGCCCTCCAGGCAGTGCATGGCAGCCCTGGGCGCGTAGCCGGGCTCGCCTCAGTGACTTGGTGCGTTTGACTGTCGCATGGAACTGGGGCTGACATTGGGCTGACACATGGCTGTAAATCAAAACCAATGGGATCCCATTTTGGGGTAGGTGAATTCACCACCCATTCTAGTCTATTGTAGTGAGGATTGGGACTTTGACCCATGGCCACATCTTCACTGCCTGCATCCACGTCTAGTGTCGCGCAGCTTCCACCTACACAGGTCCAACTCAAGGCCCCGGCAGGAAATTCTGCAGACTCCGCCGCTGGGCGTTCCTGCAGGCTGTTACTGTTGGAGAATGCTCCCCAAAAACATCTGGCTTCTTTGAACCTAAGCTACAGTCCATGAAGCGAGTCGCAGCAATATGTGACGAAGCATTTGAGAGGAAGATGCAATTCGGAGGGTTGTTTCCAATGCGACGGCTCTCACAATGTCACAGCCGTGGCTTGGTTCTTGTATTTATTTGCTCACGGCGTCATTTGCGACCGTCAGCTCCCAGCCACATGTTGGGCTGTTTAGGAGGGGGGATGTTTCCAGACATTGACACGATAAAAATGCGCTACAAACGACAAGGCGAGCGCTCCGCTTGCCAAAAGGAATAACTGCTTGACATTGCAACGGTGCTGGTGCCACAGATCTGGCGCAAAAGCCGTGACATGACGTGGCCATGGGACCGGACCGTTCCATATGGCCATGAATCAAAATCCAAATCGTACCAAAATGGGATCCCATTGGTTTTGACCCACAGCCAAATGAAGTGACCATGGGACCGGACCGTTCCATATGCAGACCTCTCACTTGCGCGAGCTCTGCCTGTGCAGCTGTCCGTTCCACGGCTATGACCCGGAGATGGTGGGCGGCTGCAGGGCATCTTGGCACACTTGGGCTGCGAGAAGAAGCCCCGCTTCCGGCAACGCATCTCCTGAGTCCGGCTGGGGGGATGGGCTGCTTGTCAACGTTGTCACTCTTGAAGTTCTAAATCGTGTGAGTTTCCATTCAAGCTACTGTAACTGGACAAATCTGCTGGTGTGAAATGAATCACACTCTTGAGTTCCATGTAAGCTTCCATTCAAACAAAGTGGACAAATCTGCTGGTCTGCCTGTGAAATGAAGGCAAGTTGCCCCACACAACTCATGTGGCACTCTTGACAGTTTGCACGCAATGCAACAGCTTGCACATCCACTGAAACCAGTTGCTAAGCTCAAGGCATCATCGTTGACGACCTCAAACGCCCAACATGTATGGCATTGCAGGCTAGATAATATGGCAAGCGTATGAAGACTATCAAACCCTCCTGCACGCCTTGAATCACAAGGGAGCAAGCAGGCCGAGACCATCCTTGCGCCAACCACCACATGTCATTCTTTGGCAAAAAGGGCTGGCACTTGCTTTCGGTCTCGTTAGGAAAAGGCCAGCTCGCAGGTGGCAAGTTACACTGATGCTCTGGTAAACACTGAAGCGAACTTGGCCAATCGAGCCTTCCTACTGGTACACTTTTCTATCATCCGGGTTCAAGACAACACATGGGTGTGGGTCAATATTCTGGTGTGGAACGTTCCGCGGTGACGCGGACGTCTGGAACGAGTCAGTTACGCAAGGTCGCTTGTTCCGGACCTCTGGGAGGACATGCGTGTGGAGTCCTCAAGCACACGTTCATTTAGTGTAAGATGGATAGATGGATGGATGAATGGATGGATGGGTAGATGGATGGATGAAGCGACTAGGGGCGCGCCGCCATCGTTGCCACCCTCGCGTCATTGGGACACCGATGCACTGTAGTCACGCCCGCCACGCGCGCCAGCCGATGCACAAGGCTGGGAGGCGTAAGCCGATGTCCACCGATGCGCAAGCCGATGCAGGGTATCCTTCAAAGACTTCTTTGTCTCCAAAGCCCTGGCACATGTCGTCCTTGAAGGCTTCTTGGGTGGCGGGCCACGTAAGAAGCGCACTTACAGTACGTGGCGCATGTGTGTGCATGTGGACTTGGTGGCAAATTTGCTCCGCTGCGTCTGGAACACGTCTGGAACGGGTCTGGAACGGGGTCTGGAACGGTTACGCGAGTGGCTTGCACTTTGGAATGCTAGCAAGCCGCATGTAAACATGGTCGTTTCAACCGAGAACGGTATCGATATCGTATCGAAAGTGGCGGAATTGTATCGCACCGAACCAAACCAAAGCTCCGGAACACCGATACTCCTGTCTTCATTTGTTTCTCCTTCTTTCTTGCTCCTTTGCTCCTTCTTTCTTGCTCCACGCCATTTCAGCCTTGGCCATTGCACTTGCACACCCGACAAAGAACGACCATCTGAATCAATACTCTAGAAATAAATATACATAAACAAGGTCTGGAACGGAAGGTCTGGAACATGTTTCTAGGCAAGGTCTGGAACGGAGGTCTGGAACGGAGGTCTGGATCGCATGTGGGTTCCGGACCCTGTTCCGGACCTTATAAATTGACTCGCAGCCACATGTCAACCCCAGGGTACCATGGTACCCATCACAACGCGCACACGGCCCAGGCCTGAAAGCCCACGTTGCAGTGGAAGGCGGTGCAGCGCTGACCTCGCCTGAGGTTGATGCAGTCTTGGATCTTCGCCGCTTCTGCGTTCCTCGGGATGGTACTTGCTTTGAATGCGGCCAGTTTTTTTTGGCAACACGGATGTGGCCAAAACACCTGTGGGTACAATAGAAAGGCTTAGGCCAACATGTGTCAGGCCAGGTGTGAGCCCCAAAATCTGTGAATGTCGGATCATGCACTGATTGTGCGTAAAGCCCAAGCACAAGCTATCGTGGCAAATCAATGCAAAACGATAGCGATTCACTCAGCCACAGTAGCTCTTGTATTCACAGTCGTGGGCCTGTCACAAGTTTGACCAGCTCTCCATGTGGTGTGACCCAGTTAAACCTCTTTGCAGGCCAAGCGAGTCAATTCAGCTGGTGCGTGTCAATCGATGTCAAGCAACCACGGAGCAGCAATCAAAGGCACAACATCTTGGCACCTGTGCGATCCTACGGGGAGCCTGTGCCAGTCTTTTCTGATAGAGACATACCTTGCACGGAGCTCTGGCAGATTCCCACAAGTGGGGGGCACAGGGTAGACCTATTCACGGCCAATTCAGCGTGTTCAACACAACAACGCCCTGCGGTCTTGGAAGTAGTCGGTCACTCAGGGCTTCGACCTCTCACATCACATCCAAAACAATTGAGATCACATCACATCCACAACAATTAAGACCTCTCTCTGGTCACATCCAATTCAATTGACACCTCTCTCTGGTCTGTGTGAAATGATTGTTCCACTGTTTTTTTTTGGTAGCCCTCGTGTGTTTCCGAGTCATTGGGATGTCCACTGGCGCCGGGCTGCGGCAGCTGCGGTGGCTCCCCGCAGCCTGGCCAGCGCCAACAAAGGGCCTCAAGGGAGCGAGCGCCGCACTTGGATGGCGGCAGAAGACATATGCCACGAGGAAACGAACGGGTACCCTCCCAATAAAAAGAGACACGCCCGTTTGGCATCGGATCTTTGGACTTTGACTTGTTGGTTGAAACAGAGGGTTTTCCCCCTTGCTCCTCCCTAATAGGCTAGTTTGTGCTATGACCGTGGCTGGTGTGTCGCCCGACGCATGTGCCGTGTGAATAAACAAAACGGTCAGGGCAATGCAGTGGGGTTTCCCAGACCCCGCGGCTCAAACCTGTACCCTTGGCGGTTCCCTTGAGCATCCAAGAGTGGCTCATAGACGCCCAGCGCTTAGTATACCAAATGATCAGGCCATTAAGTATGGCCAAAGCTAGTCAAGGGAAGCGGCCCGGCCCCAGGCTCTAGACCCGGGGCGCACACAACCATTAGTATGACACACATATTTGCAGAAACGTGTGTTCCTCCATCCTGAGAATTTGTGCATATTATGGACATGTGTCCGTGCATAGGCTTAGCCATAGATATTGAGATAGATACTGGGTATAAACAGCTGTGACAGGTCATAGGCCATAGATTTGGATACAGAATTGGTAGTGATACAAGGACAAGATTTCTTGGTCTCTATCTATGTAAATATCTATCTATGTATGTATGTATCTATCCATCCGCCAATCTAACTAGGCACCTATCTATCTATCTATCTATCGATCTATTGAACTATATCTATCTATCTATCTATCTACCTATCTATCTATCTGCCTGTCTGTCTGTCTGTCTGTGTGTCTGTCTGTCTGTCTGTCTATCTATCTATCTATCTATCTATCAGTCTATCTATCTATCTATCTATCCATCCATCCGTCCGTCCGTCCATCTATCTAAGCTATCTAATCTATCTATCCATCATCCACCGTTCGATCGATCGATCAAATCTACCGATTCTAGCACAACAAATACAAACGGTGTTCTGCTCGTTCAGCGTTGGCTCTGCGCTCGATGTCAGCATTGCATGCTTCTGTTGCTCAGTTTGCAAGTCCCCTCATTCTCGAGGCAAGTGTCTGATCGGTTGGCCTGGCTGCTCATGCGTCAAGTGGGCATTGTTCGCTAAGAAAATCTTGTGATAGGACAGTGGTTGAGCGTTAGAGGCCTGCGGTGGTGCCGTGACATCCGCGCAAACGGTGGATTGGCGCGCAGTTCGCGGTGTTTGGGTGCGTCGGATCGCTTGCGCTGTGACTGCGGGCGGCGGAAGCTCTGCAGAACCAATAGTTCAATAGCGTTGTTTCCCTTTTTGCTAAAAAAGACTATGGGAAGACCTCAGGAAGACACTAGGAAGACACTAGGAAAACTACAGGAAGACTATGGCAAGACTACGGCAAGACCACAGGAAGACTACAGGAAGACTATAGAAAGATTACCGGAAGACTACTGCCTACTGTGCGTTTCAGATGGGCCCGCATGGCGCGGCCCCCGAAACAACTATGGCGTCGCCGTACGTGTTTCCGTGGAGGTCCAACCGCAGAGCCGCAACGGCGCGCAGGTTGAAGGCCACAAAACCTCGATATAGCCACGCCAGTCCCGCATCCTCGCCCCTTTCGCATAGATTCAATTTTGTTTCAACTAAATGCGAAAGCCTGTTGAAAGTTTTGTTGCAAGAGCCAACCAGGCATCTAACATCTCTGACTCCTACAAGCATCTTCGCCAGGCTTCGTTTCACCCAAACATCAGAGATGTAGGACAAACGTCCGCGCAGCCTGGCCCTGCGAAGCCGCACGAACGAATTCTAGCCCTGCAAAGCCCGCGGCGTAGCCTCCCATGTTGTGTGACAGAAGTGCCTTCGCGGACCTTTGGGAGTTTCCCAAAAGAAGCTAAGATCCATCATCTGAAAAAGCAAAAAGGTACTCAAGTCACATCTTATTACTGAGACCGCCGGTTGTGTTATTGCCAAAACCCCGGCTGGTTGGTTAGAGCCATCTCCCGCTGGTAGTGTTCGCTCCGCCTCACTCCAGTTGCCGCGCTCGCAGCGCAGGACCGCGCCGGCCTGGTGGCCTGCTTCCTTGGCACTGCATAGCACTGCAAGCGAATCCAACGTGGAGAAACGGGCTTTCTCAGAGGTGCCGTCAGTGTAGGCAACGTTCCAGACTTCTCATCTCTAAGGCTGGCTGTTTTATCTTGAAAAGGTGAGCCAAGCGAGCGCAGTTCGCCAAAGTGCGCTGCAGGTGCGGCCGCTCTGCCCGCAAAACTCGGCCCACACCAAGCCAAGCCACGCAGTGCAGCTCGCACAATGCGCCACTTGGGTAGCCAGAGCAAGTCGACAGGTCACCGCCTCAAGGCCACAAGGCCACAAGCCATGTGGGTGTAGGTCAAAACCCGGTTACCCCCCAGTGAACATCCCAATCCAACCACTAACATAAGGTCTAAAATGGGTGGTGAATTCACCTACCATCCAAAATGGTACCGTTGGTTTTGACCCACAAACCAGGTTTCTTCCGGTCTGTAAAGTTGTCTTGGCGCTTGGATCAAGCGTCAAGGGGCCTCCTGGCGAAGCTTGTCATTGCAACTCTGTTGCCTGCGAGTGCCTCATGCCAAGACGGCCAGATAGCCAGTGGTGTTTCAAGAAGGGCTCAACAGCGGAGCATGGCATAAGTCTGCATGTGTCCAAAAACGAAGCACACAGCTTGAATCCACACTGCACACAGTGAGGCATCCTGGCCAAGGCACTGCCCTGAACCACCGGAAAGCCACAAGGGCGAGCTTCACAATAAGCTCGGGTAAAGTAGCCTGCGAACGCAAGCAGCTTGGGTTGTCTGCGCAGGAACCCCAAAATGGGTTCTTCGACTTTGGCATCCCGTTATGTGAAACTGCTCAAAAAGAGAACCCTTCAAAAGACCCCCAGATTGAATCTGTCAAGGACACTTGCGCAACAAATGGCTAGGGCGATGTGCCTTGGAAGCTGCGCCGATCCACTCTGTGATTGGAAGCACAAGCATACACAAGCAACATCAAGCAACACGCAAACACTTTCCGCAATGGTCATCTCATCACGAATGAGCCCCAAGGCATCGATGCCCGAACTCTGTGAGTACTTGTGCTTCCCTTGCATCAAGGTTGGCCTTGGCTCAAAACTCACAATCAGGTTCTCCACGGCTCGTGTGCGCCACGGGCAAAGTAAAGGGGACAACGCCGGACTCTGGTACCGTCCCCCTTGTCCACCGCACCCCAAAAACAAACAAGGAGGTAAATGTATATCTAGGGGAGGTATGTAGCCCAACTTGACAAAAAGGTAAACTCGAAACCACTTCAGCTTGAAAGGATCAGCCCATTGAAAGGACCTTCAACAGGAAAAGCCGTTCAAGGGAAAACCATGAAAAGGGAAAGAGCAAGCTTTTGGAAAGAAGCCGTCAAAGCAGACTAAGACCAAGCTAGAGGCCAGGCAACTTCAAGGTCCTGTAAATGAGTCGCACGAACGCTGCACGGATTATGCGTTCGAGTCTCCGGGGCAGTCCCTGCCTCCCCCCCTCCCGGCAACCCGAGCGTACTTCAGGTAAGCTTGTCACAAATCTTGCACCAGTGCGATTTGCAGTTGCAACGTGCTCAACATGTGACACCTCCACCGGAACCGGGTCATTGCGCCCTTGCGCACTGAGAAGCTGAACGAGCCGAAGGGATATGCCGCAAGCGCACTCAAAGCTCAAGCTAGCACCTGCCTGCCTCAATGAAACAGAATAGACAATCCCACAAGGCGCGGAATGCAAGCAAAACCGCTGTGCAAAGCAAACACTGCACACACTTCCTTGGGCGATGGCACACATCTACTAGCTTCATCAAAGAAATCACCCCAAAAACATCCAGGCTGCAAAGCGGCCACAGGGGTGGCTGGCTGGGTGGTTCGACTGGGGCGAGCCCCGCCCTTCCCCGGGTTGGTCCCCCCCCCGTATGATGGACACGTAGGGTCTATTTTGCAACCTCCTTCATTTAGGCTATTGGTTTCTAGGGTTCCAGGCTGCAAAATAACCTGTAAGTGTCCATGCCCCCGCGGGTCCCCGTTTCGCCTCGGTCGCAGCGCATGGGCGCTGAAGCCTGGAAGCCTTCTTCGCAGCTGAGCTGGCAGAGCTCCCCGTGGCGGAGGTTTGCACAGTGGGAGTAGTTGCCCACCTGGCGCCAACGGACCGCACAGCCCAAAACTGGGATTTGGACGACTGGGACGGGGGATTTCTGCGCTTGGACTTGGGAAACCTTTGGGTGGACCTTGTTTGCGTGGGACGTATGTGGCCAAAACTGTGCTGGGACCGGTTCAACTGTTGATTTCAGCGCTTGGACATGTTCTGGCACCCTTTGGGTGGACCTCATTTGCACGGGAAACCTTCTTGAGGGGGCTCCCCGTTGAAACTCATAGACATGTATTGGCAACGTTCAGAATGAACAAATCGAGTGCAAGGACTGGAGCTCACACATGGCACGAGAGCCTTGAACCTTCAGGGTGGAATATATGTCGCTTGCCATGGTCGCACTGTTGCTATTGCACGCAGGCTGCCAAGTCTTTGCAGGGCTCTCAAGGCCACCCTCAGCCAACTTCTCCCTTAGCTTTCTCGTGGTGAGCAGGACATGCATCTGGGAGACACGTGGGCGGCTAACACCAGTTCGAATGAATATTCGAATCTGGTTGGTCGCGAAATATGAGGCAAGGCTGTTTGTTTTTGGACCTGGCCATTTGGACGACTCAATTTGACCTTCCCCCATGAACATGCCGCTTTCTGCCCAACAAGTAACAAGTATTGTCAGGGATCCCCACCATCTGGCAACCGTAAGAGAGCTCTCAACCTTCTTGCGGCCGCTACGGATTCGTTCCAATACATGGTGCAATTGAAGGCGCGGAGCCTTTGGCTAACATTACGCACGTGGTGAATTTGGAAAGGGATGTTGTGAGAGGGTTTTCGTACAGATCCATCCCTTTCTGGAGCGGGGGATGCCCCCACCGGGTGATTGCTGTCCACCGATCATGTTGGAGTGTGTTCCCCCGGAAAAATCACAGCCGCACGGCTGTGGGTCCAAACCCAGTGAACATCAACCAATCCAAACACTAAAATAGGCTATCTAAAATGGGTGGTGAATTTACCTACCATCCAAAACGGGATCCCAAAACGGTTTTGACCCATTTGGCTGGTCAACAATAGATACACAATGGTGAAATCATGTACATGGTGATTCATGTCCACCGATCATTTCGGAAGGGTGTTCCCATTAAATAAATAAATTAAATGGAAACATATATATATATATATATTAACATTAACCAACAAAAAAAGAAAACAGCCGCCACGCGCTTTCCGACCCAAAAAAGCGGCCGGCGGCGCCGCGTAGTCCGGCCGCGCCGGCGCGGAGCAGCGCCGCTCCTGGCAGCGCGCGGCGGTCCAAAGGCCGCGCTGGCAGACCTGACGAACCAGCCGACGTGGAGCGTGGCTGTGGCTGTGGTGGTCAAAACCGTTTTGGTTGATCCCATTTTGGTTGGATTGGGTGAATTCACCACCCATTTTAGGGTTCCTATTTTAGTGGTTGGATTGGTTGATGTTCACTGGCGGGTACGATTTTGAAACAGGAGGGGCAGACTGCAGGTGTTGGTCCGTGTTTCCACTTGCCAGCGTTCCATTTTGCGTACCGGCTCTTTGGGCCACAGCCAAGTGGAAAACGAGTCAGGTTCGCGTCTTTTTGAAGTGACCGGCCTTGGGGCCACAATGGTTTGGGAGGCGCCTCAGCAGGCTTTCAAGCGAAAGGGTTCCATTTGCGCTGGGAAAGGCTCAGGACCCAGAAAGCACCTGTTAAGCTGCTTCATTATGTGCATAATAAGTTTGAAGGCTCCGATGGTGACGCAATAAGCATCGTCCTTCCGATCGTCATGAGCGAGGCTGCCATTAGACTGAGCAGTCTAAAATCGATTCCAGATGTCCCCGGCCAAATCCCAGCACAAACAACATGAAATCATTCTACGCTATGGCTATGAATCCAAGGCGCAACGTGCTTAGAGGTGGGTTCAAAGCCCTCCAGGCACTCCACCTGCATGCGGAATGCACTGCCAACAGTCCCATGCAATATACGACCAGCTGGCATGTCTGCGTAGGCTCATGTTCGGCTGTGACAATGATTTTGAGCAAGCGTGGCAGGTTTTATTGAAAGAAAGCTTGCATAGGTGGTGCCGAACAAAGCTTGCATTGGATCCAATTGACTCGAGGATATGGCACGGCTCTTCAATCTCATTTTTCAAATGGATATGTCAACTGGAGGCGCCCAACAACCAACACCTGGCTTGCAACTTCAGTGGATGCTTCCCAAAGACGGCTGCCCAAGGTCTTTACAATATGCTGACAGCCTTTACCCCCAAGCACACGGCGCTTGCGCTCCCAAGCCACAAGCTAAGAACCAACAATTCCGCCTGACATCGGCTGCCGTGAGGTGAACTAGCGCAAGTGGATAGTTCCTGCCGCAATGCAGACTTTGCATCTTGAGGCCTGCTCCCGAAGTCGCAGGCAATGGCAGACATTACTTTGAAGGCTTCCTGATTCCATAATTGATATGAACTTCAGAGACTTCTTGTCAACCAACGAACATTTTCTGAATCCGGCGAAGGGACGCGGGCTTTGACCTGGAACATAATGCTTGGATGTGTGGCGGTGCACCTGATATGGCCTCAGGTGCTCCGTCTCTGATAGCACACCATCATGGCTTGGTTGCGCGACGCGAAGTTGAGACACTCATCCCAAATTTCGGGCCGCTTTGGTGACAGCCACGCAAACGTTTGAGCCAAAGCAATCATTGAGGGCGATGGCAACAGTCTTGATAGTCAATACCGAACAGCGCATATGGCAATAGTCAACTAACATAAACATGTTGATGCTCGAGTCAATCCTAGCCAGTTCAGAAAGCTCATCTTGGCTCATCCGCGTGGCCTCGCTGTTGGCCACGAGAGGTGCTGCGTCGCAGGGCAGAGGCTCACAGCTGCCAGTAAGCCTGAGCTGGGCACATATGGCGGCTATTCGAAATGCCTTTCGGAAAACGCAATACTTCGCGAGAAACGGTTCTCTTTCGCGAATCTTTCGCAACTCCATGCCCTTGCGTTTGCAGCGTGCGCTCTGGAGCCATTGCTGCTGCTACAGTTGCGCGCGGACGGGGCAGTCACGGCAAGCGCTGGAAAGGGCGAACGGTAGTGACTGCTTTCGCTTCACGTTGCTGCAGGCCTGCCAGGGGCGGAACCTTGCAACAAGCCCATGGGCTTTGTCCGGTCTTTCGCGAAACTTGCCAAAATAGCCGAGCCAACGTTTTGCTTTGCACCCTTCCCAGAACAAGCAAGGAATCAAGGACGCAAGTATGGGTGCTGCGTATGGCAAGGGAGTGTGGTCCGCAAATATATAAGCGTACAAGCGCGCCTCCAAGAAGCTTTCATTCTTTTCCGCCAGAAAAACACATCTCTTTCGCAGACTCCTTCGCGGATCTTTTGCGGGCACAAACGCCTGCGGTGCTATGGTCCTCCACGGTATAAGTCCTTACACCTTTTTTCTCTCAACTCCCATATACAGGCCGACGTGAAAACTGAACCAAGGCACGGTATGCCAGTATTTCCAACAAGTGCTGTTCTCATGCTCGGCGCAATCATGGAGGTCTGAAACGTTGGAGCCTGTTTCCACTTCAGGTGGATATCTTGCCCTCTTCCAAATGGCCAAGACCTGGCAGACTACGCCAGAGAAAAATCCAAAGAATCCAAGGAGCCATTCCCTGCCCGCACAGAGCAACTTCGCGGCCATCCTCAAACTGCAATGTGGCCAAAATCCAAATCGTACCCCAGTGAACATCCCAATCCCAACTAAAACAGGTTCTAAAATGGGTGGTGAATTCACCAATCCCCCAAAATGGGATCGCAAAACAGTTTTGACAACCACAGCCATGTAATTCCAAAGCACACTCAACAAAACCGCTTGGACTGGGCACTCCGAGGATGCTGGAAAGTCTGCGTTCACAGGTGCAACGAGCGCTTTCGCGCGCGTCTTCCGGTCCGTTTTGATGTTCCTTTAAACTACAAAGAAGCGGTTTGCCGCATTTGCAATGCTCCAGTTGTTCATGAGGGACGTGCTGGGCAGTGCACTTTAGAATACAAATTTTGAATGGCATTTAGAGACTTTGGTTGGCTTGAATAGCATTTGCACTTGATTGAAATGCAGTTGCTTTCCGTTGCCGTAATTTGGAGACTCTCTTAGGTATTCTGTGTTAGCGTGCATGCGTGCGTGAGCCGCATTTGGCCCTGTCTGCATGCGGCAACTGCTCAACCAGATGGTGTAGGTGAAGCGGCTTGAAGCAAGATTCGCATTCTGCGCTGCCAGCCAGAACATGTTTCATCCCTGCCGCAACACAATCTAGACGTAGATTCCACCAGGAAGGAGAAGGTTGCACGGTTGATACAGAATTAAATCTTTAATCATAACAAAATATTGGGGTCGAAACAAGTGTGGGTTGAAACTTGGGCCCCGATCTGATGGCCCAATATGGCTGTGGCTCAAAAACCGGTACCAAAATGGATTGCCATGGTAAGTGGAAACATGGACCAAAACCTGCGGTCTGCCCCTCCTGAATTTTCTGAGCCACAACCATATTGACACACGAGTTGATGGTCCAAGATTGATACAAGGCCATGGGGCAAAACCCAAATCGTACCCCCCAGTGAACATCAACCAATCCAACAACTAAAATAGGAACCCTAAAATGGGTGGTGAATTCACCAATCCCCCAAAATGACATCCCAATCCAACCACTCAAATAGAATAAAGTGGGTGGTGAATTCACCTACCAACCAACATGGTACCACTGGTTTTGACAACCACAGCCACTCGAGTGGCGCCCGGCCGCCCCCCACGAGTGGCTTGTCCTGTGACCACTCTCACAGACCACGTCGCAGGTCTCGCCGCTTCCGTAGATGCGGTGCTCGCAATTGGCCTGATGGGATCCGGTAGCCTTTCGGAGAAATAGATGGGCCTGGTAAATGGAAAATAACACCCATCTAAATCAGTGCCTTCTATTTTTTACCAACCTAAGAAGGACACAATTGGATGCAGCACATCGGATAGAATGACAATGAAGTCTCCCTCCTGCTGTACGTCTTCTGCTCACTGCTGCTGTTGGTAGATCTGAGATTCTTTGGGAATAACTTGTCGCAACCTCTGTCTAGCCAAGTACAATTGTCAATTTGAGCATCGGCAAAGTGAAATTCATCTGACGCAATGTGAAGGGACTGCCAGTGACTATTGCATGGATTCGCACAGCATGCTCGGACAGACCTGGACAAAGCCCGTTCAACTGGGTGGCTGAGAAAACGGAAATGACCTGCCTTGCCGTTCTCCGGTGCTGGGGCGTCTGTACCCTGGCATCCCGGCAAAGGCATACCTCAGGGCAAGAGATTGTGAAAGTTTGGGGTGAGCCCTTCCCAGCATTGCAGTCTCGCAAAACCCACAAAACTGGGCGACCCAACAGTGAGCATTAACCACGGTGTATGTTTGGACTGATTTAAATGCCACTTTCCGCCAACTGCTTTTAGCAGCCAAGGTCAACCCGCACAATTCCCCTCAAAAAGCAAACAACAAACAAAGTCATGATCCATAATCCAACGATCACATCGCAATTTTCGGGAAGGACGTTGTCGACCCTTGTGTTGCAGTTTGCCAACAGCATTGAAGCCACGACGGGAGCCGCCTGCTGTGGAGTCGTGACAGAATCCGACATGCATCTTAGGGTGGCTGTTCTCACGCCAGTTGTCTGAGCAGCCAAGACACCAATAGTCACACAGGTGGCCTCAGCAACGGCCAGGCTTTGCCAGTGATGCACTGCTGAGGTGAAAGTTGCTTGTAGCAAAAAACTGATTGAGTTGCTCTAAGGTTCTGCAAGCGCATATCCAAATGCAGCATTTCTCACCGGAATGCACTAGTAACGCGAAATGTAGTGAAGCCGGCATCTCTGGCCCATGCTCTTCTGACTCTGAGGGAACTCAACAAGAATACACACACTCAACGGGCACTGGACCTTGGATTGGGTGGTTCAGCCAAGCATATCATCGATACCAGGCCCGAGTTACGCCACTTCGATGGCGAGCCTATGGAAAATGCTTTCTGTGCTGTTCAAAATGGAGGGTTGGCCAATCCTGATCCACAATCCCTATAGGGAGGCGTAACCGAAGGTAAGGATGAAGGATTACCAGGCTTTGGGTTGGACCTGTCGCAGTCGGCCCTGAGCCAAGCAGCGCTCTGCCACTCCCCGCGCGCGCACACGCTGGCGCCGCTGGGGCGGAAGCCGTTGCTGCAGCTCAACGGGCAGGCAGCACGGGAGGGAAAAGGTAGGCCTGGGCGGTTGAACGCCACTGGCCGCTTTCCTCCCCGGGTCACGTTGCTTTGTCCCGTTTTGCTGTTGTTGCGGGAAAGCCCTCTTTTCAGGGAAGCAAAGCGACTCTGTTTGAATAATCCCTTCGAATCTGACATGTTGATTCCTGGAACCCAATGGCCCACTGCTGCAAGGCTTCACTGTTCCCCAAGCAGCGCCACCTGTCCAGCGCCCTTTCGATTCTTTTAGGAAGTTGCTGTAGCAAGCACCCGGTGTTGGGAACCATGTGCAAACACCCATGGTATGTGAGCACTGTTTGAACGCCACCGGCGGCATTCCTCCCCAGTTCACGTTGTTTTGTCCATGGCCCTGTTTTGCTTTTGTTTGTGGCTCTGGATCCTGAGCATGGGCTCCAAGGGTTGAAATTGTCTTGATGCCTTACAAACGCACGGTGTCAATCAAGAAATTCCGCCACGAATGGCTCGGCCCCTGTGTATCGGCAGCCGGCGGCTACGCCAACGTGTACGCTCTCTCCTAACCCGGCATTTCAAGATCCCAACTTAGAACCCATCGAGTCAAGCGCTCTGGTTGACAGCCAGTCCGACAGCGCCATATCACTTCACCTCTTGGCCGAGAGGCGATTGTACGCCAAAAAGCGGCACTCTTTGGCCACACCATCGTCGGTGTCAACCTCAACCAGCACGCAGGGCTCAACACGTCTTGCCCAAGCAGGCCATGGGTCAAAACCCAAATCGTACCCCCAGTGAACGTCCCAATCCCCACAAAAAAGGACTAAAATGGATGGTGCACCTACCCCAAAATGGTACCAGAATGGTTTTGACCCACAGCCAACAGTCTGAAAGAATGTGGTCCAGGGCAGCAACTTGTGGACTGTCTCTATCAAGATGAAGCGCTGCTCAGTGGCAACGGCGTGTGCGACCGCAGGTGGCGCGCCCAAGCATGGTTTTTCAATGCAGCGCGGCCGGTTGAAGTTGAAGGACTTGCAAGTTAATTCATCCTTGGTACAAGTCATGCGAAATCTAGAGGGAAGCAGTCAACATGTGCCAGCTTTGTGGGTCAATCACGCGTCACAAGCGGCCTTTCATGCTGTAGCAACCTCACCGCCTTGTGCCTCACAGCGCCATTTCGGCCAAGACTCGGTCTTCACAAACCCGTGAGAGCAGGCAAAGTATTGGCACACTTCACCATCTGCCAAACCTCAAGCAAGCAGCGCATTGCCGTCTCGGCAAACCACTGCGCAGCTCCCAATCCAAGGGACATGGCTGAATCCTGAATATGAATTGCCATCACGCCCAGGCTACAAATTTATGCTCATTAATCTACCGATTCTCACCTCCATTAATTTCGCATTTACTCGCAAACGGGATATGAAGGCATCCACGCATCCATCTCCGAATGAATGCAATCCACTCATACACGCCAGCAAGCCAGCAAGCCAGCAAGCCAGCAAGCCAGCAAGCCAGCAAGCCAGCAAGCCAGCAAGCAAGCAAGCAAGCAAGCAAGCAAGCAAGCAAGCAAGCAAGCACGCACACACGCACGCACGCAAGCAAGCAAGCAAGACACCTAGCCATTCGCCTCAATCGAGCAAACTTGGAAGAAATCCCAGCCTTCACAGTCTTCCAGGGTCTTCTCCTTAAGCTCGGCTTCTGCACAGTCTGCCCGCCCATCAGGGCAAAGGAAGATTGCAGTACCTGCGGGCACCAGCAAGGGTCTGGATTTGCAAGGCAATATCACTGTTGCCTACACTTTTCTCGCCATGCCTGGCAATAAATAGTTTAAGCAGAAATGCGCGGGATGAAATACATTACTGAACTCTGCTGATCAAACAACAGGTACAAACTATTTCATCTTAAAAATCGCGCCCAAATCCCGGCAAAACAATTGGCTTGTGCTTTAACTTTGAGCTTGTTTCTGGCTCCCAAAGTCCCAGAAGTCCTGGAGAATTATGTTCCCAAATGATTCTTCAATTTTGAATCCACGCACAAGACATTGAGCTGTTCATCATGTTGAAATGATTCTCCCACAAGGGATGGGAAAGTCAAACAACTCCGCAGCCATGGTAAAACAGTTGGCAGACCAGATTTCTGGAGGAACGCATCTGAACACCTGCTTGACAGTGCAAGTACGAGCGAAGGCTGCAAGCAAATATTGGTCGTTTGGGGGGCCATCATATGAATACGTTGACATATACACTTTGTTTGTATTAGTATACAATAGGTGTATTCGTATTACGTACACAGTAAGTGATTCATGTGGCGGACTCTGCTGCCAACCCAGGCATCTCTAAAATCTAATGAGCATTGCGCGTTTGTATTTTGGTGAAAATTATTGTGGATCCCCAAGTTCGTAAAGAAAAAGAGTGCATCGACATCAAGACACAAACCGGCATCGCAAAACCTGAAAGATACTGTGGATGGACGAAATCCTGCACCATGTTGAAACCATGGCAGACCATTGTTTGTTGGTGTTTACAGAGGAATCATCATTCCAGGGTTTCTGGAGTGGTGCGAAGGGATTTCGTCCATCCGCATTACGTCTGCTCTCCCCTCGCATCTTCTGCCGTGTTGCTGTGCATGGGCCTTGGCGGGCTTCCGCAGCCCAAGGAACCTTGGCCAAACAAAATTCGTGCTGCCTGACTGCCTGATGCTTGGAGTTCCCATCGCAAAACGCGGATCGCACTGCGCGACATTTGGCCGTGGCTCAAAAACAACAGCACCAGAATGGAACCCTGGTAAGTGGAAACATGGACCAAAACCTGCGTAACCCCTCCTGTTTAATTTTGACCCACAGCCATTTAAGGAACCTGCTCAATCAGAACGTGAAGCAATGCCGCAAGAACCCATCAGCTTGATTTAAATGTCTCCGAATGACTCCGCTGGCTCCTTAAAGCATATATCCAAGCTGCGGCAATGGGGCACATTCAAATGGCCCAACTCGCAACGGAGGTTGTCCGACTTCTGAAATCCGGCTCTGCAGTCCAGCAAGCACCTCGAGCTCATGCTGAAAATCCTCTGTGCTCTGGATTTTCGAGCCTCACCCGACTCGCCCAAGCACACAAGAAAAGCTCCGTCTTGCTCTGGTTCCACTGGGCCCTAGCATTCAACTGTATCCACCTCCTGACATCTGGCTGTGGGTCAATACCCTGTAGCCCTGGTGGACATCAAAACAGGTGGCAAACGGATGTTCATCCACCCCAAAATGGGATCACCATAGGTTATGCAACCCATGGCCATCTCAACCTGCCGTTGGCGGCTCGACGTGTGCCCTGAGCGCTTCCGGGCCACTCCTCCCCGTGGGCCAGTCCGCTGCATCTTGCGGTGGGCCGGCTGTTCGCCAGGCGCGGCGCGTCTCCGCAGCGCTCCGGCAGGCATCGGCTGCGCAGGAACCGGAGGCCGCCGGAGCAAATCAAAGGCCGGTCCTGTGCGCAACATGAAACCACCTCAGGTTTCGCTGTTCACTCTCTTTTCTTAGCCGCCAAAGCCTGTCCGACTTTGCCGTCCTGAGTTGGATGCCTCAAAACTGCCAACTCTCCGAAACTATCCCTGCGTCCATTCTTCGGAATTCGGCCGGGAATGCTATGTGGATGGACGAAATCCTGCGCCACCTAAGAAACTATGGGAACCCATCATTTCTCAGTATTTTCAGGAGAATGGAATCCTTCCAGATTCTTTTTCAGGTGGTCCTGGTGCGAAATGGATTTTGTCCATCCACCGTAGGACGCCCTATTTCAACCTGCCTCGCGATAGCCCACGGCGCACTGCACCGCGCAGCTCTGCTCCGCAGAGGTGCCGTTGCAGCCGTCCAGCGGCTCCGCGTGGTCCACCCGCGGCGCCACCTGGAAGACGCACTTCGACTGCCTCGAAAGCGCCAAACGCATGCGTGCTGGTTGAACTGGGACAAATATGGCTGTGGTGGTCAAAACCGTTTTGGGATCCCATTTTGGGGTAAGTGGGGATTGGGATGTTCACTTGGGGGTACGGGCTTTTGACCCATGGCCATATAGCAAATATGGGGCTCTAAAATTAGCACATGTTGCATAGTTTCGCATGACATCACACCAACCTGGTCACCCATTTTGCACGCGTCACAACATTAACATCGGTTCCTGTGCAAGCAGCTGTGCGGACCTCACACGATTTCATGAATCACCAGAAACAAGTTCCTATATGAGCCTGACTCTTTTAGCAGTATCCTGATTGTTGCGTTCAATAAATTTGCTCGCAAAGGAAACGACGTTGGCTGCTGCTTGATTTGGATGCCCAATTGGTGCTCGCGGCTGAGTCCGTGGCTCAAGGCACTCGGCAAGATCGCAGCTGGACTCATCCACCTGCCAATGTTCCAACTGGACATGTGCAGGACTATGTTTCATTGACTCAGGCACAACAAATGTGGTTGAAAATTCAGATTGCTCCTTAGGTCCTTGAAGCAGCCTTACAAAGGGAACACGAAAAGCCACCCCTGGGCCAAACTTGCCACCGCTAAGCACAGTTCATTCCCGGCTTGCGATCCCTTGGTCCCGCCTCGCGAGGACACCGGACACCCTGAACTCCTCGTTTCGGTATGGAGGTTCCTCAGTACCAAGGCCATGCAAAAAACTCTGCTGCCACTCTCTGCGTTTGCCAAGGCCAACACTCGGATTCTGAGAATTCTGGCTCTTGCGACCTGCTAATTCGCCACCCTGCTCCAGAAAGTCGGACGACGTGGCAGGGGCCTACCATGAGTTCGAGTAGGCACCTGCCAAGATTTCGAGTAGGCCTTGCCTCGTCCAAAGCACAATGCACGTCATGCGGTCTGCTTCGACTGCTTTGAACAAATACAAGTGGACAAGCAACCGAAGAAAAGCCCCGCGCCGGCAATCTAGGCCACAACGCTTTAAAGACCGCTAAACCATGATTTTTCCCCCGTCCTGAGCACCAAACCACAACAGACTTTTATATGTAGGTGTTTGTCGTAATTTCCGTTTCTTGCAGTTCCACGCAAGGAAGGAACTTGTTGTGTCATAAGTGCAATCATATCAACAAAATACAACAATGAGCAAAGGAAATCTGCTCAAGCCAACTGAACTTATATTGACTGCTTTCTTGGTGACTCTCTGCGGTTGCTCTCATGCATCGTCCAAATGACCGTGCATGCGTGGTTGCATGTCGCGCTACTTGGATCTCTCTCTCCACAAGAGTGATCCCAAACCAGGGTGCATGGGGCGATTGCCAGAATGCTGCTCCCGCATTTGTTTCATTTCTCTGGGGCCTCAGTCACGGCTGGCTGCCTACTGGACGATCAGTTTCCACAACCTCCAGCCCACAGCTGCCATCAAAAAGCTCAGCGCAACTTGACATGTCGAACCAGCCACCAAAAACTTGTCAACGCTCAGAGGGGCATTTGGGTCACAAAGACACCCCTCTAGGGGTTGATTCCCCATTCTTTTCAACCATCGTTCTTTCCACAAACCGGCCGCTTTCCCTGGGTTTCAAAGGAGGGTTTTCCAGAAAGGATCCTTGGAAAGAATGGAAATGGGAGGTACCCCTATGTTTGCATAGTTTACCCAAGGCCTTCTTACTGCAGGAAGGTACCCCAGAACGGCAGGAAGGTACCTCCCCCAGACTATCATGGAAGCTCCCAGGTCCCTTTAATAAGACTTGGTTCCATTTGCAAAGGCCTTCTGGGAGCTTTCATGTTAGTCTGAGGGAGTGTCCCCCTAGAACCCCACCTTCTTTCCACACCCACAGCTTTCGCCGAAGCCACGCTGTCGCTGCATGCGCCCGCGGCCACAGCTCCGGCTGCAGGGGCCCCAGGGGGACCAGGCGGTCACGTGGCAAAAGCGCGAGCACTGCACCACTTCGCAGGGCCACTCCTTCGCCAAACGCTCGGAACTCGAAACACGAACCCTGATGGCTTGCTCCCCCTACTCAAAAATACCCACTTTTTTCAGGGTAGTTTTGGGAAACCCGGGTTTTTCATGGTAAATGCTTCATGTTTTAGTAGAGGATCGACATGATACCCTGAAAAAAGAGGGTATTCGGAGTAGGGGGTTCAGCTTCTTGGCGCTTCGACTCTTGATGCTACTGCATGGGGGCAGGTGAGGATCTCCAGCGAAAATGAATCCGCAAAATATGCATTGCGCCAGCAAATCGTGCGGAAAGCATGCATCCATCCGTCGTCTGTGTAACTACTGCAATGCGAAGGAAGGAAACTGCACGAACCGCTACAGTGATGTTTACCCGATTCCGTGCTTGACCGAGAAAGTAAGCAGTGGAAGGTTGGCAGGCCTGAAACTGCCAAGCAATTGAAGAAGGAGAGCATACAAGAACTGTTCGCCGAATCAACTTAGACAAAAACGCAGGCTTGATATCAATGAACGGCCGGGCTGCCGGGCGAAGAAGGCTGATATTCTTGGCATAAAATCCGCTCCCGAATAAGGGAAGCAGTCTTGCAAGCTATTGTTGCATCTCCATTTTACAATGCTTTGGCGTCAAACAGGCTCATTGTCATCTTGACTATCAACTGTGTATGCATTCATGCCATCTACTTGCACTCTCTCTGCTGCCGCGCGAGGCTTGCCCTTGGCCACATCAAAGCAACAAAAACAATTTTCCGGGATCCCTATTTGTGCACGACGTTTAACTCGGCATATACTGCACAATACT